AAAAAAAAATCCTACTTCTTTGTTCATTGTTGTTTTATCCAACCTCACTAGACAATGATTTATAAAGATCTAGTCTCAATCTGAAAATTTTTTACTTCCTTGTTGCCCACACATTATGAAGCTATGATTTCTTTGATAACTACTTTCCCACAAAGGGTGACCAACACAAATTGAGGCTTAAAGCAGGAATTTATTATTTATGATTATATATATTTTACAGAAAATTACAGTATGATTTAGTTTCAATAATTTAGTGGTTTTGGGATCAGACGAGAACATTTAATAAATTAGGTGTAATTATAAAATCAGGGTCTTATAAAGGAATAAATTGATTGAAGCCTTAAAAGAGAGAGATAAGAAAAAATTGGATGGGAGAGAAAGACTCGGAGAGAAACGGTGAGAATGGAGGAAAAGAGAGTGAAAGAAATTGGAAAGAGATTGTAACTTTCAAGCTATAAGTCATTACTTTTAAAACTTTTTTAAAAGTCTTTGTATTATTTTAGAGCTTTCTATAAAACTTTAAATAAATTTGCAAAAAATATTATTATATTTTAGGACTTTCTATAAGGTTTTGCATAGACTTGTAAAATACATTAGGCTTTAACTTATCCATTCAAAAAAGCCTCAAAACTTCCAGCTGAACTAAGGAATGAAAATTAAATTGATACCCTAAATGTTTAGAACTCAAGTTTTTTTTATGGAAGTGTCTACTTATCATTTTTTAGAGGGTATCACGTACCTAACATGTAATCATTCTGTCAAAAACTTAATAGTTCGTCTATATAGGAAACAAAGTGATATGAATTGAATACTTTAGGGATCAAATTGACAAAATTGATATAATAAGGACTAAACTGACAAAAAATACATATTTTAAAGACCAAAAATAATATTAACTCAAAAAAAAATGACAGTAGATAAACCATAACCTATTGAAAACCAAAAAACATAAAAGAAGGAACTCAAAAGCAAATGAATTCCCACAAGGATCTAGCTTGCAGCTTTAATTGTTCATATTTTTTGCATTGAAAAAATTCGAATTTAGCTGTTTATTTGTAGAATTTGATTTTCTCATCCATAAAACAGAAATGATTTTTAATTTTATCAAATTAATGTCATTTATTTAATTTAAACTAAATTAACATTTCATCTCATCTCATCAAATCATATCAACACAAATTGATATTTAATTTTATCAAATTAGCATTTAGTTATATTAATTTAATATTTTATTTAATCAAAATAATATTATTTACTTAATTTAACATTAAATTATTATTTAATTTTATTAAACTAAAATTTAATATATTAAATAGAATATTAAATTCTATTAATTTAACATTTAACCTTATTAAATTAATGTCGGTAATTTAACTTAACACCAAATAAACATTCAATTTCATTAAAGTAACATTTAAATTTATTCAATTAATATTAAATTTTATCAAATTAATACTGAATATAAATATCAAATTAACACCAAACTAATATTTAAATTTATCAAATTAAGACCATATTTATTCAATTATTATAATTTTATCAAATAATAATTAAATTTAATATATGAAGAGCGATGTGTAAAGAGTGGTCAAGTGACGTTGTGGAGGACAGACAATAACAATGGAGACAGAAATGAATGAGATTTTAACATAGACATTAATCTCTGTCTCTATCGCCACCAATAGTTGAAGAAGACATCAATACTCCGACAATACATCACAACATATTGACATAACAAAATGGAAGAAAAAAATTAAAAAAATATGTGCATGAATAAAATTTAAAAAAAAATGCATGAAAAAAATTTAAAAATCTACATGAAAAAAATTGAAAAAAAAAATCATGAAAAAAATTAAAACTATTTGGATGAAAAAAAAATTTTTTTAAAAAAACTATATGAAAAAAACTTTAAAAAATTGCATTAAAAATTAAAAATATCTACATGAAAAAAAGATTGCATAAAAAACATTTACAAATCTACAAGAAAAAAATAATTTTTTTTTACCAACTTATGTAATGATTGATCCCTGTAGAGAATGAATTAAAGAAGAATTATTGACTTCAGTCCCCTATGTCTTCCAACAACACTAGATCATTTTTGACCTTTAACAACAATAAAGGGTATGATATAGATAGTGAGAAAAGGATTAAAGACATTTTAGTATATTTACATAAAGAATAGTAGTTTTGACATTTTCAGAAATTTTACATTTCATTTTTATACTGGCAGAGTTAAAAATTATCTTTAAGAAGGTGTATTTGATTNAAATAATAGTTTTGACATTTTCAGAAATTTTACATTTCATTTTTATACTGGCAGAGTTAAAAATTATCTTTAAGAAGGTGTATTTGATTTGAAAGTATAAATCAAAAGATAGTATAGTGAATTTTTAGAATTGAGAAAATGTGTCAGTGAAGTTAGACCTAATTAGAGAGGGTGCAAATAACATTTTTCCTATTTTATGGTTGTGTTACTTCTATTATAAGAACTTGAATTTGACTATTGAAAAGTCTTTTCCATTCTGAATGTGCTGCAGAGTCATGTGTTTGAAATCTATATATATATGAGAGAGAGAGAGAGAGAGAGAGAGAGAGAGAGAGGAGGGGGGCATAAGCCTTGGGCCGTTAAAAAATGCTTAAATACGGGTTGTTGACATACTTATTAAACAAGAGCAATGCTATTCGGAACTAATTTATTAATTTAATCTATTATGACTTTTAAATTAACTGTGAAACTCATCAACTATTAAAACTTAATATTGATCCATTAATTTTAATAAAATTACATCATTAAATTAATAAATTAGATCAAATTTTTAGGTTCAAAAAATATTAATCCTTAAAAAAATAGGATTATTAATTCCACTTTTTAAATAAAAATGGGGCTGTTAATCCCGCTTTTAAACAAAAAGAGAGTCAATAATTCCGCATTTTAGAAAATATCATAATTTAATAAATAAATTTAAAAATATCACTTCAATCCCAAAGTCACCTAACAATAGTCGACTCAAAGTTATGTGTGTTTACAGTGTGCCACGAGTTTCCCGTGCGGGTTGAGTGAATCTATATTTCTCTTTCTTCTGATCACATTCAACAGGAATGCATAGGCCTCGCTCGCGCCTCCCACCATGTAAACTGTACACACATGTTCAAAAACAGTTCCAAGCATAACCTCAAAGGCACAATAAATTAACTCACAAGAGAGACCTTGTAAAGTAGACATGGTCTCCTTCACGGCAGCCCATTTATTAACCAGTACAAACATTAAATCACGATAACCAGTGTTCAAAAAATTGCGATAATTACCATCACCAAAATAGTCGATTTTACAACCCAAAGCTCTCGCAATGCCACCACTTCCAAGGCAANAAAAATTGCGATAATTACCATCACCAAAATAGTCGATTTTACAACCCAAAGCTCTCGCAATGCCACCACTTCCAAGGCAATCGCCACAACCATCATTACGACAGCAATCGCAATCATAGAATTGTGAGCAAACCTACTAGTCGTAATCAGCGTGGAATTTAATTGGAAGAACGCCACTACGGTTGCTATAGCAATCTATGCTCGACCACTGCCACTAGCATCACCATTGCTACCAACATCAGCATCAGCATCGCCACTGTCATTACCATACTAGATTCCCCATGTTGCATTATCGATTAGCATTGCCACTAGCAGAGTAGATCCTACTGCACCATCTTCAACCTGCAGTACAACCGTCAGCTAAATCAGAACAGAATTGATAGTTCCCACAATTAGTGACCTTTACTATCCTCCAGCCACCATGGCTTCAACTCTTCCAGGACTTCATTTCATTCTTAGGCAACCATAACTAGTCCGCAAGATCACATGCTTTTGATCCACAGGTGAAGTACAGCAAATTAACTATTGCTTGTAGAAGATGTATAAGAGGTAAATCACTTGTTGCTGTCTGATCAAGATCTAGTTAACAGCTTGTGCAGAGGTGTGCATTTCAAGTTTCCATTTAGACTTGTACTGTGAATGTTCGTATTGTGGTTCTTGCCCATTTCAGTTGAGTTCCGTCAACCACAAGAGTTAAATACATTTAGATAAGGGTCATAAAACATGGGGTCTTTTAATGCTAATCAAAATAGGTAGAGAAACTAATAAAAATGGGACTCTCTTTCTCTCTATATAACAATAATCAGATTTTTTACACAAGAACTCCATACTATTCTCTCTCTATCACTCTAGAGCCATCGCCATAACTCCTTGATTTGGGTTCATGAAAGCTTAAGGAGAAACTCTAGTAGCCATTCTTTCGACCTTTGGACGGACTTCAGACGTGCAGGAAGCTAACATGGGATTTAAAGAATACCCGGTTTGTGCAAAGCATCCATCGGTCAGTAACAAGAAGAAATTTCGATCTTCAAGAGGTAATCTTGAAGCCATATATGTGCTTATGTAATTCAACAGGAGCCAATGTCTAGTGTCTGTAAAATTAAGTGAAAGTATTTCTTACATTTGCCATATTCTTTTGAACTCTAGTGTTGATCAGCAAAATATAGTGCTGTCACAATCCACTAATCAAAAATATGTGACTCAATAAATTCAGTATATTTCAAATACAGTTCCAGGGGAAGTCGCATGAATTTCAAATGCAGAAAATGAAACCTTGGTAACTTTAAACTAAACCTAGAAATCCCATAGAGAATGAGAAGGCAAATGTCATTTTGCCAAGGGTAATTGCAATTTAAGTATATTATTTCCTCAACTTAGCAAATCAATCAACTCCAAAAAAAATATGAGCTGGAAATATTATTAGTGATCCATCAATGTTTCAAGATGAAAATGATGCACAAAACCAATGGCAGATCCACACTACAAGGTGAAAAAAAACTCAAGACAGCGGCTAGATCTTTTCCTTCATTGAGGAGGTAGCCTCATACTATATAGGTAAACAAAGGATGAAGCATTTACAAGTAAAACTGTACATGTTACTCATTTTCAAGTAGTTGTGTGCATACCTTCAATCATAATCTAGCAGCAGCACCGGAAAGGGCATGCTGAACCAGCTCCCTTCTTAAGATCTTCCCTGCTGGAGATTTTGGAATAGCGTTGATAAATGCAACACGTCGAATCTTCTTGTATGGAGCAACCTGTTAGATGGAATGCACCTAGGTTACTGTAAGAACAATAAAAACAAAATTTTTGGGAATGGATCTGATGATGACACAAAAAGGTCTCACGTAGAAAAAACCCTGCCAAAGATTTTATGAAAATATGCACAAAATTGCGGCTGAGATTGTCAAAGTTTATGTGAAGGCCAATTCATTAGCTCTCTTAGACAAACATGAGGCTGCTACTATTGTTGTAAAGGGAGAAGACCCTTTGTCAAAGTCTATAGTCTCGTGAAGTAAGTAATCAACTGACCAGTTTAGTATGCGATCCTATGCTGTCCCTAGAATGGGCATCAGGTCAGAGAAATATTGAAAAAAAAAAAACACAAAAGCACAAACTCTCCACTTGACTTTCTCAATTTGCTCTTCTTTTTTTTGTGGTTTGCATGGAAAGTAAAACAGGGGGCCACTTGTTCAGTGGTTAAACTTGAGGCCAATAATCTTGAGATCGTAGGTTCGAACTTGTTGGCGGCCTCCTTGTGCCAACTAACACCCGACCTTGCACCCAATCTACCCCTCCCAGACTAAACTGGAAACTGGGCATTATACTTTTTGTTGGGGGGTTTTGCATGGGAAGAAGAAAATATTATTGACAAGACGCATTCACACCCGCCAAGTCTGCAAACAAAGAGGTCTCAAGTCCAAAGATACAAGAGATACTAAATTAGTCTCCCAGCAGGTTCTTGTTTATGTCAAGAAATCTACATAAGTTTTCTTTTTAGCAGCTTTTTAAACCTCCATTGCAAAATTCAGAAAGGAGGTCAAGAAAATCTCCATAAGGCTACCAGTTAAGTTCTCAAGATAATGGTGATTTAGTATAGCTTCTGCATCTATGAGAACCAAAAACCAACAATTCAAATCATGCTTGATAGGCCAACTGCACCAGATTACCAAGGATTTCTGTTACACTACCATCACAGCTTGAAGCTACAATAAATAGACAATGAGCTTTCCACTTTTAGACAGCTTGACTGGACATGATCCCTGATTTTGATCTTGAGCTTTCCGCTTTGAATGCTCAAACAATCTCATTTGATAATCAAGGATTGGCCCTTTATCCATCTAAATTAATGATTTCATAGTATACATAAGGCAACCAAGAAGATGAGACATGAGGGAACTTCCCCACTTGGAAATGGAAAGGTCCTGTCTGACAGTTCTACTGGACAATAAGTTAAGCTAATCAGGAAGGTTGGCAACTGCTTGGCTTAGAATGCGACTCCAAACGCTGGATGACTTGCAGCAATCATGAAGATTGAGCAAGGATTTCCTTCGTTGCAGCTAAATAAGATTGTAATCAGATTGTAGCTACCACTGTTGACCATGTGGTAAGCCAAACTAACAAACTCTCTCAGCTTTTGTTGGGGAGTTTGATTTCTATTACAGTTTCTTACAAATTGCAGTTGCCAAGGGGTAGTTTCCTTGAAAATTAAATTAGGGACTGATTGAAAGAGGAGCCAGATTTTGTGTTTCACATATGAATGTTTATTTGACTGTGCTTCCTATAAGGTATTTAAAGGTGAAACCAATTTGGTGATGTAAACCACAAAAAATTTCACATAACCAAACCAAACCTCATGACCCAATCATTTGGGGTGGGCTATATGAGTCCGTCTTCGCCATTCATTTCGATCATGCGCTATACGCTCATTTAAGTTAAATATTTTCATATCTTTTCTTTTTATTTCGTTCAATGTTAATTTAGGTCTACCCCTATTTTTAGTACTATTAAGAGAAATTCTCTCACTCTTTTGGATCGGTGCCTCTATAGGCTTTTGTTGAACATGATCAAACCATCTTAATCTATTTTCTCTTAACATATCCTTAATTGGAACTACTTCTACCATTTCTCTAATACATTCATTTCATATTCTATCTTTTCTAGTTTTTCCACACATACACCTTAACATTAACATTGTCATTTCTCCTACACTCATTTTGTCACTATGTTGTTTCCTAGTAGCCCAACATTCTGTCTCATACAATATTGTTGTCCTTATAGCTATTCAGTAAAACTTATCTTTCAATTTTATTGGTATCCTTTTATCACATAATATGCTAGAGGCTTTCTTCCACTTAAGTCAACCGGTGTTGACTTTATGAGTTACATTATCTCCAATCTCTCCATCATTTTTAATGATCGATCCTAGATATCTAAATTGTTTTGCTCGTTAGCTTGAATCAAGTCATGGGACGGAGAAGAAAGGTTGCATTAAATTTTAGATGGCAATCATCAACTTTTAGTGTGAGACATATTAATTGCCAAGTTTCAGTGTGCAATATATATTTTTCTAATGCAACGCATATTTTGCAAGTAGATGACATTTGCACTATCCAATATTCTCGATCATTGACAACCTGTTATTGAATGGCACAAAAGCCAAGATATGTAGACCATTACAGAGTCACAAATCAAAAAGCGCCAAAATTGACTAGCACATAATAGTGACTAAAAAAGTAGCACGCAACTAATACTTTTAACATATTCAGTCAAAGTTTATATAGGTATTTAGAAGTAAGCATGCCTGTTTTGCAATAAAATTCATAATTTGAGCATCAGAGATATTGCTGCCCGGTTTCCTCACTATGTAGGCCATGGGAATCTGCCCTGCTTCTTCATCAGGATATCTGCTTTCACATTGCACAAAAGGAAAGATAACAAGAGCTGATATACCAAAAGACCACAAATAAACTGGAATAAAACAGTAATATAGGTTGTTTAGATGGTAATCTCAAAAAATGGTTTAAAGGACTTCACCAACTAAAGGCCAATATAAAACCTACCTGTCATTCAGCCTTACCTACAGACCTGGTGCTTGGGTTTCCCAACCAGTCGCTTGAGATTTAGGGTAACTTAGATCACTTTGAATTTCAATGCATAGGAAATTTACATAATCAACTATGGAATAAAAAACTTTTCCATTGTAATTGCTCCCTGACCACTCTACCCAAAAGCTTTAGCCTGATCTCCCTAAGTTTAGTTTTATCATTGGAATTACCCCATTTTTTTATGGAAGGAAAATGACTCCTAAGCCGTAAAAAGTATCAAATTCAGAAGTGAAAGTAACCAATAAGTTCTATATGCAGCAATAAAAGCAAAGACATAGATAACTCTTTTCTTTTAAAAAAAGGTGGTACTGTGAACAAGGTTTCCACCACTATGGGGTCTGGGGAGACTTAGATGTGTACAGTCTTTCCTCCACATGCACAGAGGTTATTTCTACGACTCAAACCCTTGGCACACTAAGTGACAATGAAGTAACCTTATCGCTGCGCCAAGGCCCACCCTCATGCGCCAAAGTCCACCCTCATATGACTCCTTTCTTTTGCAGTGCACAAAAGAAGTGAAATATTCCAACCTAAATTTCTAAAGAAAAATGTTTTCTCTATGTAAACATAAATTATAAGCCTAATTTCAAATAGATGTCAAATGAAATACTGGAAACTTGTTAAAGTATAAATACTTAAAGTACATCCTCTTTAACAGCTTAATCTTTTAGAGTAGATGGTTGCTCAACATGGTATTAAAACAAGAGGTCCTGTGTTTGAATCTCACCGCCACTCTAATTATTAAAAAAATTTAACGTGTTAGGCCAAAAAAATAATCTGCACGTGAGGAGGGTGTTGAAGTATAAATACTTAAGTTACACCCTTTCTAATAACTTAAGTTTTTAGAATAGATGGTTATTCAACAAACTGTTACTAGGTAAACTATTAAGTTTTTAGAATAGATGATTATTCAACAAACTGTTACTAGGTAAACTATCAACTTTCCTAAAGAGGCTACTAGTTGAAGCTCATTAGAATGTGAAAGTGATTGGGATTGAGGAACTATAAACCACGGTGCAAGTACAAGAAGAATATTGAACCTAACTTAGAAATCTCACTTCTGTTTGGGAATAGGAAACTGAACATCGAAGAAATATAACTTGGTACCAAGGTCAGATTGTAAATCTTCCGAAAGAGTTCCAAAATCCTATGTTGACAGTGAATAATCGAAGGACCTAGTTTTTGAATGTTTTGAAACTAACAACGATGCACAAAAGAGATGGCTAAAATTAAAACAGACCAATGACCACAATACCAGCACATTAAGATGAAGATAACGAGGTGAGAACTCACATACTCACTTGTCGAAATTTGAAGAAAAAATCCCAACTCAAGAAATGTAAAAGGGAAAAAGGAGAATAGAAGTTGACACTACAATCAAATGTTTCGTTTCATTTATAATTAAAGAATAGTCTATCCAATGTACAAGGTTTTTGCCTATGGCGGGATTTGGGAGAGGTAAGTGATAGTCGACCTTACTCCATTTTGAGGGTTGATTTCATGATGTCTTCACATAAAATGAACTTGAAAATGCTTACTTTCTTATGATAGCAGTTTTAAGCCATAAAAATCACAAAATAGGGTTAAAAAATTTATAAAATAGAATAGTTAATCTAAAGATGATGATAAGGAATTATCCATTTGCTAATTTTCTTGCTTAGTTTTTGGGAAAATTTCACTAAGACCCCTATGATATTTGACGATTGCACAGGATACCCTTGTAATTTCTAAAATTACACAAATACCCCATGTCAGATTTTGTCCATCAACAGATGTAACAAGTCTTTTTTCCATTTTTTTCCCCGATGTCTTATTTATGCATCTAACAATCTAGTACTCCAACACCACTTTTACTTCATAGACTATATTTGATCTTATTGCCAAACACACATCCATCTCCATCTTCTTCCCGCTCTTACAAGTAGGTCCCCCACCTCACTTCCAACTCTAGTAGCCCCACCCCAATCCATATTATCTTCCTGCCCCTCTTCTTCTCCGTCTTGGCCCCCCTAGAACCCAACACACTCATTTCCCTTACACAAACACACAAACATAAAAATATATGCACACGCCTCTAAGATCAAAAACAAATAAATAAAAAATAAAAACATTTTCTATGGAAAATTGAAATCAAAAATCAAAATAAAAAAACAAAATCAAAATCAAAATCAATTTGATTTTATATTGAATTAGGACGTTTGATGCATTATGTAGGATTGGGTTTCAATTAATGAATTGAATCGAGGGTCTGGGTCTGGTGGTGGGCATGTATGAGGATGTGGTGGCGGCATTCTAAGTAAATCCTTAGACATAAGTTTCCCTAAAGAAGCAGGGGTTGTGATAGCTGGTGCATCTTCTAAAGGTACAAGGACAACTTTGTGGACTGAGAGAGTTACCAACCTTGATCATTACAAAAGGCTATGTTGCCACATCGAGCCCGAAGAAAATCAAAACATTGCTTATTTAGTTTATCCATTAGACCGTTCTAAGTAACATTTTGTTAATAGGTGGTGAGAAAATGAGCTTCATGAAGGAGGGAGGGTGATTGTAGAAAAGGCATCGGGTGGTGGGGAGGTGAGTTTCGTAGGGAAGGCAGGACGGTTACAATGAGGGCATAAAGGGAGGTAGATTTACGAGTTTGAGGTCAGGGGATAGGATGAGTTTCAAGGGAAAAGAGGGGTTGCGACAAGGGTATTAAGAGTTGCAATGGTGTGAGGGATTAACTATTGGGGTTAATCAGGTTTGATTTTCTTTTGACAAATTGTTTTTGTTTGTTATTTTAATTATGTTTTTTGAGGATAAAATGGGTAGTTTTAAAAAAAGTGCGATGATGTCGACAAATTTCATCACTATAGCCCCTAGGTAGGTATTAAAGTTGTTGAAGGAGTTTTACTTGACAGTGAGACTTGGTCGTACAAGAGGAAGTCTCTAGACCAATCAACAAAAAGGCATTAAAATATTTTTTTATTCTTTTCTAATTAGCACAGTAAAAGTTGCTCCTATCCCATTCATTCTATTAAAAATTTGTCCTTAATAAATAGAAAGGCAATAAAATTAGAGCACATTCCAATTTATTTTAAGCTTCTATTCTTTTCTCACCACAAGCCCTAGCCTTTTAAAAAAAAAAATAGAAGCATCGTTGCCTTATAAGTCCAAAGCAAAAAAATTCGTCTTTCACACAATAAAAAAAATCATTGATTAGACCTAAACAAGTTCAGTCGCTGCTTTATCCTTCATTGATTAACTAGTTAGTACTATTATTGATTCTTATTATTGACTATCTTTTTAATTTGAAAAAAGTATGTTGATTTATTCAATATATTTAGGAATAGATTATTATATATTCTTGATTAAAGTTTGAATCTAGTTATAAAATTTTCAACTATGTATACATATTTTATTTTGTTTTTGAATGTGAACATATGATAAATTATTGCATTTCTTTGAGTGTACAATTTCATTAATTTATTTGATTGATGACTGAGTAAATTGTTAAAAAATTTAGTACGGATTAAATTATAGATGAATTTCATGATATTAAAGAACGTCGTGCATCACTTGGATAAACAATTGGATTTGTATGTATTAAAAACTATTTCTTTTGTTAATCTTATTTTTGCGTCTATAGTTTTGTTCGTATCGAATAAATTATTTTGTTACATTAGAAATTTAAATTTTTGTTTGTGTGAGTTTTTGTGATAAGGTTTGCCCCCCCGGGGGAGTATAAAATCCTAACACCGTCCCTGAATGAAAGAGTACCCTGTGAAATACAAACCGAAACATAGACTTCTTAACCTCTCTAAGGAAGCCACTCCTTACTTTAAGAAAGTCAAGCATCTACAAACCGAAACATAGACTTCTTAACCTCTCTAAGGAAGCCACTCCTTACTTTAAGAAAGTCAAGCATCTCTCTTAGAGAAGGAAGAGGACAGACGTAAGATAGTAAGGAACAGAGTGAGACTTCCTACTCTTATCTTTCTACCTCATCTAGTAAGGATGCAAATCAAATAAATGAAAAAAACTAACTAAAAAGGAAAAAGTATCCACATAGGTGTCAATGTAATTTCAAAAACCATGATGACAAACCATGCAATTTTCAGAAATAATAGGCAGGGTCGCTATAATTTAAACACATCTTCTTTTATTTTAAATGAGTGAGGGTTCAATCACTTGAAGTCTCAGCTGCAACTATGCACCAAGGACTGTCTAAAAAAGAGGATTTTACTAGCAATGACAGTTCCCAATCCAGTGTATCCTAAGTACAACATCTTGCATAGCAAATTTCACTAGAATTTTCCGGAATTCTTTGCATTTTTCATATAAATCTGGAGAACAACACCAGTAAATTGGTAATAATTCTCATAAAAAAGTTGAAAATTTCAGGTCTATAGATCCTCAAACAAAGATGTGTACAGGTCTGCATATGATACTCTTAAGTTTTCTATAGGTTACGCACAAGGCACTGCTTGTTGTCAGCAATTACTTGATTTTCATATATCTAACACAAGAAAAAAGTCCACACATTATTGTGATTTGGCAGATAAATTGAAATGGACTGTGATACATACGGGATAACCGCTGCATCAGCAATTTCTGGAACTGATTGAAGTAAATGTTCCAGCTCGGCCGGAGGAACCTGCGAATGTCCCAAATTTCATCAAATGGCAGAATTCAGTGTTAGTGAAACAATAGCTGCAACAAGAAGTTCATTACAAGTTAGAAACTGTGTCACACTCCAAAGAAGTTAATCACCTGATAGGCCTTATATTTTATCAATTCTTTCAACCTATCAACGATGTAAAGGAACCCCTCTGAGTCAAAATAACAGAGATCACCAGTCTTTAACCAGCCCTCTGAATTCAAGGTTGAAGCAGTTGCTTCCTCATCCCCAACATAACCTGTCATTACCCCCACCATTCTCCTTCTTTAGACTAGAATCATCATAAGGTTATTCGAAAGGCTAGAGTTATAATCTAATGCTCAAAAGCAGAGATACTAAGAAGTAAAGAACAAGAAGAGTAGACAATTATAAAATTCTGGATCTTTAAATACTCCACGAGAGCCCTTCTCGATTTTGTTCCATTTTCAATCAGCAACTCTCTGATAGATAAATTCCATTACATAGAAACTGATTATGAATTGCCAGTTCTGTCTATGCCTCCTGAGATACAAACCAAGACTATTTCTTTGCATGACTGTGTACTGATGTATGTACCAAAAATTCAGTTGTTGACCCCAAGTGCTTCGTCGATGCTACATATGAAACATGCTGTTCATGAAGAGCAAGCCAAGGGTAAAATCAGGAGAGTGAATTTTCAGATGAAAGGCCAATGACCTTCATTACAATAGGTGGCTCAAGTATGTGTTCCATTACAATGGATAGTGCATCTTACAGGTTATAACTAGAGTAGGGGAACGAAATGCAGCAAAGCCAAAGAGATCATTATCCAAGTACATAACTAAATTCCTACTGGTAGAGCAACATCAAACTCTAATATATAATCTCTCCCGCATCACCCTTCAACATCATTCCTTGGTAATTATCCCAAAGCACATGATTGTGCTACAGAGAGAGATAAGCAGTGATGCATAGACAGAAAATCGCATAAACAATAAGCAAAATAAACTTCTAAGCACTATTATTATGAGCAATCAGCAGATATATATTTCTTTGCATCTTATCTATTGATTCTAACACAAAGAAATCACATGTCAGAAGTCAGCTGTTACAAAAACTATAATGATCAAAGCATTGGCACATATGCAGCACCTTTCATGACCAAAGGCCCCCTTAACCATAGTTCCCCTTGCTGTCCAGGAGGTAAGGCTTCCCCAGTTACAGGATCAACTATCTTGGCTTCCATGTTCTCAGCTAGGCGGCCAGTAGACCCATATTGCTTAGACTCATCAGGCCCTATCATCCTTGTTGCCCCCCCTCCAGTCTCAGTCATACCATATCCCTAAAACAGATGAAAACAAACTTAATTAGCACATTAAATTTTGCATCACCCCATAAATAACATTCCTATCAAGCATTACGAAAATGGACATGAAACTAATCACACGTACACATCAAATAACTCAAACTTATTCCAGGAAGACTTCTAATTAGTCACAAAGATCTTCATGTTTTGTAGACATTTTCAACTAGTCACTTTCCAAAAAAAAATGTTGAAAAGTCTTCACAAAGCACGCATAAGGATCTGTCTATATTACTGGTCAAATGATTTCTTCTTATCAAAACATCAGCCAAAGATCATATAACAACAACAATTCAACACAAATCTCAAGATTAGTTCTCAATTTTCACATAATGTTTCGACTGTTATCTGAGTTGCACACATAGACAAAAATAATATTGGCGTCTTTGCATTTACCCAAAAAAAATATTGAAGTCTTTGCAGGGGATGATCATGCTTAATGGGACGTAATGGTCACATCACACACATGAAATACATGCACCCAGTAAGAACTAAGAAGTAGGTATATCAGAACCAACAAAGAGAATATTATGTACAGCACAAGCTGCTATTATCTGACTCATAGATGACCATAAAATAAAATTATCTGACTCATAGACAGTTACATAACTATTTATCTAAGTTCCGTGATTTTCAGATGTTAGAAAGGGTAACTATCTATTTAAGTTCAATGATTTTCAGAAATTAAGAAGGACCAACAGAACCATCAACATACATATGCTACATCATGTGCATATCATCATGTCAATAAAATTGGCCAAGTGAAAAATTTGGACAAAATTAATTCTCTAGGGGACTATGCATATCCTGAGGGCGGATCAGCAGAAATAATTTTGTTTATTTCACCTATCACGATAACAACCAAAATTATAGAAAATAATTAATGTGCGTGGGACCCAACAGTCACATCCCAGACAAAAAAGGCACTGACAGGATAAGAACTTTGCATACAAATATGAAATAGCTACAGTGAAGCATTGAAACTTATGTGTAGCATAAGATACTATTATGTGACCTAACCAATTGCTTTTGCGTCAAAATGTGGATAATACAAGCTTAATAAAAGGTAATAGTGACCTTTCAACAAACCACTAATCACAACAAAAGTGTCACCAATAGTTCAAAAACATTTTAAATATCTATTAGCAGGAATCGGCACGATCCAAAGTTGGCCAAACTAGTCAAGGTTCCCTCATAACCTTACCACAGTTGCACAGGGAGGATCCCACAAAACTACTATTCCAAAACTTACTATAAAAGGCATCTTAGTGCACGATCCTCCGCCGTTATGGACCTACGGAGGATCAATCATAACCCTAACAAGGAGGGTCCGTGATATCCGAGTCACCATAAAACCCACCCTCCATTATGATGACCTTATGCAATCCTCATTTATCCCACCCAAATGCAATCCTCATTTATTCCACCCAAAAAGGATTACAAGAGAATGTTTAGTACACGCAACAAAGAAACACAATGTCAGTTTGTGGTAGGTAAGGCACCTTTGGGCACTAAGCAGCAAGTTACTAGTACTAACACTAATGCCACAATTAAAAAGGATAATGTCAATTATCTAACTCTTATCAAAAAATAATCCCCACGCTCTCAATCGGCGCTTAGTCTCACTCCGTACCTGCACAATCTCAACATGAGGAAATCTCGCCGTGAATCGCTCGGAAACTTCCTTCCCCAGTGGCGCTCCGCCGCATCCTAGCAACTGAAGCGAGCTGAGGTCATACTTCCCCACCAAATCCGACTTCGCCATCGCTACCACAAGCGGCGGCGACACCGGCATATACGTGACCTTATACTTTTCCACCGCCTTCAGCATATTCTCGAAATCAAACCTCTCCAACAAAACACAAGTCTCCCCCAACGCCGCTGCCCTAATTATCATAAAAAACCCAAACACATGAAACAACGGCAAAGTAAATAGGGACACTGGATGCAAATCCTGTTCATCTTCATTTCTATTGTGGAATAAACCTGCAATCACTGCAATTAAGTTTCGATGAGTTAACTCGACACCTTTGACTCGTCCTGTTGTGCCAGATGAATAAAGAATTGCAGCTGAGTCAGATTGGTGAATTTCGACTCGGTTTGGTTTATAGGTTTGAGGTGTTTGCATCATGGATAGAAATTCAGGGGAGTCGAGGACGATGGTGCCGAGAGGAAGGGAAGTAAACCTGTTAGAAAATGAGGAGGTTGTGAAGGCGATGACGGGTTTGGTGAGTTCGAGCAAATGATTTAACTCGGCCTGGGTGGAGAGAGGATTGGCGGGGGAGACAATGACGCCGAGGGAGAGGAGAGAGAAGTAGAGGACGGGGACGTGGACAGAGGGAGGAGAGACAATGAGCGCCACTTGGCCTTTGGATAGAGAAGGGAATCGGGTTTGGAGAGAGGAAGAGAAGGTCTTGGTTTGGTGGAGTAAGTCGGAGTATGAAAGGCGATCGCCGTTGGTGGCGTCGATCAAGAACGGGGTGGCGGGCGTGGTGGTTGAGTTGGTGGTGGTGGAGTGGAGAAGAGAGAGGACGTACTCTGTTATGGAGAGTGGTTGGGTGAGTGGAGGTAATGGAACGGGTGGGCGTATGCTTTGGAAGGTTTTGGTTAGTGCGCAGAAGCCATTTTTTGGGTCGATGGTGAGTCTTGTTTTCATTTCCGCCATGAAAATGATGTTCTAGAGAGAGAAGAGCAGAGCAGAGCAGAGCAGAGGTGTATGTATATTAGAGAGAGAGAGAGAGAGAGACAGAGAGAGAGCTGTTCTTGTGGTGGCAATGGCATTTGGTTTAGCAGACAAATGGCTTAGATTTGAATAAGTCGACGGTATTGACGCAGAAGCTCTCTGGTCGCATACGACTTGGTAATACATCATGTTTTCAATGTTGATTTTGGTCTCGTGTTTTGTTTTGTTTAATTTTTAGGAAAATTAAGTTCAAATCTTTTAAAATTTATTATTTAATCGCTTAAATCTTTGATATTTAAAATATTATACACAAATTTCGTAAGATATGTGCGTCTGATATATGTACGTACGTAATCAGATAATAAATTACACTAGATTTTCAAAACTTATACTTATAACTTTTAAATTTTTTAAGTTTAAAATATTACACTTAAAAACCTTATTAGTTATAGAGCTAATAGAATCTATTAAACAACTAAATTTTTTCAATTAAAAATAGAAGATATTGTGTTTATTATAGTTTGATTCCTTATTTGGTTTTTAGTTTTATTCCATTAGTAAGTATAATTATATATAAATTAGTGTTGAATTGAACTCTTTGATATATTTATATTGATTACTATACGTAGTTCATACATTTGAGTTATTTACTGACTTAAGCATCGAAAAGTCAATCTCTGAAGCTCTACTCTAATCTTCAACTTCTTTTTTAGGTAACCGAAGTTCAATAAATTGACATGGAGGTCGTCTAAATTTTGGCATCAACAGTACTAAAAAAATTAGATTTTTATTTTAATAAATTACATAAATAGAGCAAAAATTTTGGTTATAAAATTTCAAATATTTGATATTTTATATTTAATTAGAATATTTTTTTTATTTAAGTGTAATATTTTAAACCGAAAGAGTCTAGTTGTACATGCTTACAGATTTTAGAGGTTCTAGGTATAATTTAGTAACAAACATTGAAGGCAGGTGTCTAAGTATATATGCGTACAAACTTTAAAGAGTCTATGTGTAATATTTAAATGTCAAGAATTTAAGTGATTAAATAATAAATTTCAGGGAACTGAGTGTAATTTTTCCTTTATTTTTATTTTTCCTTGTTTGTTTCTCTTTTTGGATCATTGGGAAAAAAATTAGTGACCATCCAGTTTAATTATACGTTATTTACTCAAACAACCATGGAAAAATTTAAGAGGATTATCCCAAGGTTTCAACCGGAGGGCCATGGATCATCATGAACCATTACCCTTACGATAGAACCCAATTTTGTGCCCTCTAGAGCTCAGCAAATCTCAATAGCAATTTGCGTTAGGCTTCCTGAATTACCAGTTGAATATTATGAAGAGAAGATAATTTTCAAGATTGCTAAGGCCCTTGGAAAACCCATTAAAGTTGATATTAGAACTGCAACTACGAAGAAAGGGAAATTTGCAAGGGTGTGTATTGAGAGGGATTTTAGCACAACCAGTATTTCCCACTAAAGGTTGGGTACTTACCTCTTTAGGGTTGAGTATGAATGTTTACATTTGATCTGCTTTGCATGTGGTAGAGTCGGGCATTCGGGTTGATTACTACCCAAATTTTCAAAGAACAAGTTTGCCAGAGGCTGCCAGAGGGGACAAAAATATAGCCATCGAAAATAGAGATTCCCCAAAAAAAAAAAAAAAAAAAGATCCACCAGAAACGGCTAGAACTCATAATTCAACCCTTCGTCTAAGGACCAAGTGGCTCAAGAGGGCCCACCTAGTGAAGACACCAATAGCAAGGACCATAATTATGGACCTCGGATGTTGGCCCAACTCGGGAGAAGGTCCCAAGCTGGAAAGAAATCGGCCTCTAGTAGCTCTTGGCCCGGACAAAACAAACAAGTATCAAGTCCTTGATAAGGAATTCTCAACCCAAGAAGAACCAAACCCAAAAGGTCGTTTGGTGCACCAAACCCATTTGAATCCCCCATTTCAACTCAGCACCAACAACGTTGGACTGATATTCCAGATAGAAGATGAGGAGTTTTGGCTCACGCCGGTAAACTAGGCGATTCGAAGGATATTGCTGGCTATAGAGATTTGCCAACTCAGAAGAATGGAAACCCTCATCATAGGAGTTTCATTGAGGGCAAATCTGCCTTTGGAAACCCAAGGGGAGGTGACAAGGAGTCTCTTGGGATGGAATCCTAATTCATCATTCCCTATTTCCGTGAATATGAAATCCATGAGAGTCATGTCTTGGAACTATAGAGGTGCTGGTAACCTCAACTTTACAAGAGCAACGAGTGATCTGCACAGGAACCATAATCCTTAGGTTGTAGTGCTTATGGAGACATGGATCCAGAGTTCTACCTTCGGGAATTTCTTCCACCAATTTGGGCTTACCCAGGCTGAAATTGTTGAGCCCATTGGCAGATCTGGGGGTATTTGGTTGTTTTGGGATCCTACCAGAGTTACGATTCAGATTATTGAAACAAGCACTCAAGCAATGCACGCTTACATCTCTATGTGTGACTTCGAAACCTGGATCTTCTCATCAGTTTACACGAGCCCTCAATCAGTGAATAGAGACAAATTTTGTGATGAATTGAGTGCAGTAGGAGATAATTTCAATCAGTCATGGCTTGTAGCAAGAGATTTGAGCGATTATGCCAGCCAATCGGAGAGGAGAAGTAGATCTACAGATAACACCAATAGATGCTCTAAGTTTACTGAACGAGTAAACAATTGTAATTTGAATGGGGCTTGGTTGTAGTGGGCCAAAACCTACGTGGACAATCAAAAAGAAGGGTATGACCAATTCTCTCATCAGACTGGATAGAGCCTTGGTGAATACAAATTGGACCACAAATTTTCTAGATGCCAAAGTCCAAAATCTCCCAAGGACAAGCTCAGAGCATTGTCCCCTGCTCATCCATGTCACAGGTATTTCTCGTAACCTGTCTATGCTTAAACCTTTTCTCTTTGGGGCTGCCTGGACCACCAATAAAAACTTCAAACAGGTAGTTCACTTAGCTTGGCAAAAGGCCAATAATTCCCTGATTAAAGTAACTGAAATTATAGCTAAGGATGCAAAAGAATGGAATAAAATGGTTTTTGGAAATATTTTTAGAAGAAAAAGTCATTTGTTGGTCAGACCTGAAGGAATCCAGAAAGCACAAGAAACACATTTTTTGAGGTTCCTTGATGATCTGGAGGAAAAACTTATATAAGGAATATAACATCACACTAGGACAAGAGGAGATATTATGGCACCAAAAATCTAGAGTCAAGTGGATAACTTAAGGTGAAAGAAACACAAGATTTTTCCTTGTGTCCACCTTAGTTAGAAGAAGGAAAAACAAACCCTTAACGCTCAAAGATGAATTAGGTAATTGGACTAACACACAAGAAGAACACACGAGTTGTTTTTAATTATTTTGAAAAACTTTTTGCTAAAGAATGTCACACTACCCAATCTTCACCAATTGTAGGGTTCCAAAAATGCTCTAACAGAGCAACAAAGGGCTCTGATTATGCCCCCGTATCTGACCAAGAAATAAAAAACTCTTCATTTAGTCTAAAACCATCCAAAGCACCTGGCCCAAATGGATTGCGATCTCTTTTCTACCCAAAATATTGGAATATTGTTGGTCCCTCTGTGTGTAAGAAAATCAAAGAAATGATCCAAAATAAGTCTTGTCCTTATCAAATGAATAGTACCTGGATTAGTCTCATTCCAAAGGTTGAAAATCCAACTCAAGTTTCACAATTCAAACCTATTAGCTTATGTAATGTCAATTACAAAATCTTAACTAGGCTTAGTGGCTAGAATAAGACCTATGATGGATGAACCGATTGGCTCAAGCCAGTGCAGTTTCATCCCAGGTAGGCAAATCATTGATAACTTAATTATCACCCAAGAGATTGTTCATTCCCTGAGAATGAAAATGGAAAAAATAGGAAGTATGATCCTTAAAATCGACTTGGAAAAAGCCTATGGCAGAGTCAGCTGGTCTTTTTAAAAACAAACCTTAGTTGATTTCAATTTTCCTACCAATTGGGTGGACCTTATTATGAGGTGTATCTGCAACAAATCTTTCTGAACTTTGGAATGGGAGTCCACTTGACCCTATAACATCTAGGAGAGGTCTAGGACAAGGTGATCCCCTCTCACCATACTTGTTTGTACTTTGTATGGAAAAACTTAGCAACATGATTAGAGAAAAAGTTCAGCTGAAGAAATGGAAAGACCTTAAAGCATCCAAAAATGGACCTGAATTTTTCATTTATTTTTTGCTGATAACATAATTCTTTTTTCTAGGGCTCAAGATAAAGACTGATATGATTAGAAAGGTTCTGAATAATTTCTGTAATATTTCAAGCCTTAAAGTGAGTGGAACCAAATCAAGAATCTAGTTGTCTCCTAATCTTAGTAGGAATAGAACTAACACTCACAAAGGATTTAGGGAAGTATCTTGGAATTCCTTTATTACACAGAAGAAAATCTAGGGAATACTTTCAGGATGTCATTCAGAAAATGCAGGATAAACTCACAGGCTGGACAGCCAAAAATCTCTCCATGGCTGGTAGAGCTACCCTAATTCAAGTTGTTACAGCCACTATCCCCAATTATACCATGCAAACACAATGGCTCCCTCAATCTACATGTGAACAAATTGATAGAATTAATAGGAATTTCTTGTGGGGGGATTCAGAAACTAAGAAAAAGATCCATCTGCTTAATTGGAATAAAGTGTGTACTCCTAAATCCAAAGGGTGGGTTAGGTCTAAGGAAGAGTCGAGATAATAACTTTGCTTTGCTAGGAAAACTGGGATGGGAATTAAGAAATAGCAAGGGCTCAATGTGGGTTGATGTAATGAGGAAAAAGTATACCATAAAGCCATGATAACTGGAAGAAAAAAGCTAATGCGTCTCCAACTTGGAATGCATTGTTAAAATAAATATTTCTTTAGAAGCATGCACAAAATGGACAATTGGAGATGGATGCATAGTCAACTTTTGGAAGGACTGGTGGGTAGGTGATTGTCCACTAGACCAAAGAATGGACATTCCCTCAAATTTAAGTGAAGATGCTAAGGTTGCTAAGTTCATTGACTCAAGTGGGAAGTGGAATCTACAAGTTCTAGGTATGTTTCTTCCCAATGATATTTTTTCTCTCCCTTAATTAAGTCATCAAATGGATACTTCTCACTGGGGTAAGGTTGCCAGTGGTAAGTTTTCCTCAAAAGTTTATTATAATTTTCTTACGGAGAGTAACCCAACACAAATGGATGGTGAGTCTTGGGAGTGGATCTAAAAGCTTGTGTGCCCTAGAAAATGAAATATGTTCTTTGGCTTGTTAAACATGACAAAATCCCATCCAATAAGATTAGAGCTGACAAGCTCATGACTACTAACTCAACCTGTTCTAGATGTGGGGTTTCTATTGAATCCACTATCTATATTCTTAGAGACTGTAGGAAAGCACAAGGAGGTTGGAGTCTTTTTCTTAACCCCCAGGAGAGGAGTCTTGACTGTTCCCTTAACCTTGTTGATTTGATTGACAAATACTATAAATCAGTCACTCCTACTTGCTGGAATGGACTTTCCTGGACTCAATTATTTCTCTCTATCATATGGAACATTTGGAAATGCAGGAATGAGGAATGTCTGGGTAATACCAAAACTGAACCCCATTTTATTGTTGAAAGGACTATCTCCTTAACAAGAGAAATCTTAGAAGCTTTTGAAAGCTCAAAATCTGATAGAGCTAATAACCATATTAGACTTATTAATTGGGGTTTTCCACCTGCAGGTTGGTACAAGATTAGCATGGATGGAAGCTCGAGAGACAATCCAGGCCCAACTGGAGTTAGAGGGATCATCAAAGATCATAGAGGTCTATGGATCAAAGGGTTTTTTGGCAGAATCAACAATACCTCGAGTCTTAAAGCCGAACTATGGGCTGCCTATGAAGGACTAAAGTCGATCCAAGGTGGAGGAGGGAACTACATCCTTGAAATTGACTCTTTAGAAGTCATTAATCTGTTGTCTACCAACCAAGCAGACAACCACCCTTTCAAAGTCCTACTGAACAATTTCAAGCACATCATCAGATCTCAAAACATCATTTTGTCACATACCCTGAAGGAGGGAAACAAATATGCTGATCATCTGGCTAATTTTGGAGTTAGCCAATTTGAAGAGATGGTGACTCTTGATTTACCATCGTCTTGTATATTGCCCCTTTTAAGGGCTGACATTTCTTGTACTAGGGTTTTTAGGGAACCCAATTAGAAGTGGTTCCCTCCATAGCACCAAAAAAATAAAAGTACAAAAGTGAATGGAGAGTAGAAATTCACTGAAGATTAAATTATGCTTACAACCCCTTAACACTACCACTTTTTTTTTGCATTATTTCTTAAACTACTCATTTTCTCACATTTTGCTTTAAACTATTAGTTTTAGTTTCACGTTGCCCAATCTTTGATTTATGTTCAATTTCTATGGAAATCAGGGTAAAAGAAAATAAAATTTTACTAATTTGAGAAGGAAAATATCACCTCTCGAGATTGAGTGACCTAATTTATGTCTTATTTTGTTGTGAAAAATTGGATAGAAGTCGAGAATTGAGAGAATGTAAAACTCAAACCAACGGTTTTCGGTGTAATGTGAAAAAATTAATGTTTAGAGGACAATGTGAAATGTGGAGANTGAAAAATTGGATAGAAGTCGAGAATTGAGAGAATGTAAAACTCAAACCAATGGTTTTCGGTGTAATGTGAAAAAATTAATGTTTAGAGGACAATGTGAAATGTGGAGAGCATAATTAAAGGAGTTTAAGTGTAATTTGTCCTTAACTAAAACTATGCACAAGTGGATTGACAACTATGTCATTTTTTTACTATTTGATTATTAACGTTTGTTTTGTATTGTGGGGTTGGACGATAATATAAGTAACTTTAGTATACATCAACAAAACTAGTCTATTCTTAAGCATAAAAGATCTGGTAATGTGTGAATAGAGCTTCTATAGTCAAACTCAATTCAAAGTTGTATTTGGAAATAGACAGTTTAACTATTNGGATAATATAAGTAACTTTAGTATACATCAACAAAACTAGTCTATTCTTAAGCATAAAAGATCTGGTAATGTGTGAATAGGGCTTCTATAGTCAAACTCAATTCAAAGTTGTATTTGGAAATAGACAGTTTAACTATTCAGAGAAACTCACTATAGGATATGGGAAAGATAATTATTTTGGGCACCCCTTTAATTTAGGGAAAATCGTACTTTGGACCCAATAAATTTAAGATAATATTAAATTTCTCACATTACACCTTATATATTAAAAATAATTCAAAATAGTCTGGCCGTTAGCTTTTGTTGTTCATTCTGTCAATGACAATGAGATAATTTTTTATGGAGTGAGTAATGAAAGATAACGATGAAGTCACACTATAACACTTTTTAATATATTGATAGTAGAATTTAATCTTTGAGAGTGTTAAATATAAAAAACTTATCCAAAGTAAAAAAAATATTAATTTTTCAAGATATAAAGTATAATTCACCGAGCGAATTTCTTTCNATAGTCTGGCCGTTAGCTTTTGTTGTTCATTCTGTCAATGACAACGAGATAATTTTTTATGGAGTGAGCAATGAAAGATAACGATGAAGTCACGCTATAACACTTTTTAATATATTGAGAGTAGAATTTAATCTTTGAGAGTGTTAAATATAAAAAACTTATCCAAAGTAAAAAAAAATATTAATTTTTCAAGATATAAAGTATAATTCACCGAGCGAATTTCTTTCCTATACATTTTTGTGGAAGTCGACTTTTATTACATGCGTGAGTATTTTTATCACTGTTGTAGTACCGAGAAAAACGATAAAAATAGTTACCACAATAGTAATAAAAACATTCATAAATGTGATAAATCACCACAAAAGCGATAATTTTTTTGTACCGAAAAAAATGTGATAAAAATAATTATGACAACAGTAATAAAAATAATTATNGTACCGAGAAAAACAATAAAAATAGTTATCACAATAGTAATAAAAACATTCATAAATGTGATAAATCACCACAAAAGCGATAATTTNCCGAGAAAAACGATAAAAATAGTTACCACAATAGTAATAAAAACATTCATAAATGTGATAAATCACCACAAAAGCGATAATTTTTTTGTACCGAAAAAAATGTGATAAAAATAATTATGACAACAGTAATAAAAATAATTATGACAACAGTAATAAAAATATCCACAACAATAATAAAAATTCTCACAAAATATCGTAAATCATTCATAAAAATAATAACTTTTTTTATTATAAAATAAATCACAAGAATTATAAAAATATTTATTAAAATAATAAAATTTAGAGTTANGACAACAGTAATAAAAATAATTATGACAACAATAATAAAAATTCTCACAAAATATCGTAAATCATTCATAAAAATAATAACTTTTTTTATTATAAAATAAATCACAAGAATTATAAAAATATTTATTAAAATAATAAAATTTAGAGTTACGATGCCAAATATTTATTTTTTCAANCTTTTTTTATTATAAAATAAATCACAAGAATTATAAAAATATTTATTAAAATAATAAAATTTAGAGTTACGATGCCAAATATTTATTTTTTCAATACCATAATCAATTCCCATTGTTGTGATAAACATTTTTTGCACTGTCATGCTACTTCACTACTAAATAAATGCAGCTAGGACCCAGGAGAGCAGAAGAAGCGTCCTCCATGGCTTCCCAGTAGTCCCACTTTCCTTTACACAACTGCAAAGTTACTTGTTTTGCGGACATTATTACGAGTTCTGGCAGCTGGTAGGCAAAAAGGGAAAAATATTAAATATAACGGGGATTACAGGTTATCAATGACACATAATACTATTAATTAGTTATAAAATTTTAATAAAATAAAATATATTAATTTTATTTTAATATTTTATTATTAATTAATAATATCACGACATGTTATCCCAATGC